ATGTTGTTCAAGTTATAAAATCGTATTGCTAGTAAAAATTGCATTTTTTTTTAAATATATCTCTAGATATTATATTTCCAAAATTTGCGATTGGTGCAACCAAAAGAGTTCGATGCCTCGCGATAAATATATGATAAATATAATGAAAAGATGTAGCGCATTTACGTTAATTATAATGTAATTAATAATTTCATATTCTCATAATGTCAACATCAATATTTTAAAAAGTACAATAAAATCTTTCAAGCATTAAGCGACTATTGTACCTATATTTTTATCACAAAGAAGTCATCAAGTATAAGGCTCTCTTTGATGAATTAATTTTGAAAAAAACTGAAATGTTAATTAAAAATGTCATAAAAAAATTCATATGTCGAGTTACACCAGTCTCATATACACGGAAGTATAATATGCGTATGGATAAAGGGATAATTAATAATAAAAGTAATTAAAGCCACTCGGTGAACGTGCACACAAATCATGCGACCACGTACATGACATAATTCAAATAATACACATGTAATGTAACGTAATATAAAATCTCTTTGGCTTTTTACACGATTGAAAAGAAATACGCTCCGCGTAAATGTATGTGTGTATCAGAAATTGCGCATACCCACCCGATAATAAATTCCTCTTTCGCGTTGAGATTGATTTTTGCACAGAAGAAAAAATTGAATTGCACGTCATTATCTATCACAAACATGCGTTTTAAACACATAATTGCCGTTTAGCTTTAAATTTTTAATTCGTTCGTTAAAGGCTTAAATTTAAAATTTAAAGTGGAAGATTTTTAGAATTTGCTATCTACTCTCACGCTTGAAAGCTTAATCGTCAGAAATCTCTGTTTAACAGGGGACCTCTGATACAGCTTACGTATTTACATCGTTGCAAGTCGTGCTTTGTCCTCACTCGTGCATAAGACAAATAAGACAAAGATTTCGCCAAGTAAGGAAAAAAAAGGAAAGATGTCTGAATGATCTGGATAAGCTGAGGGGAATGATGGGGGAGAGGGAGAGGGGTGGGGAATACAGGTGATGCCTATCGATTCTATCGTATGGGACACGTGAAAAGTCGAAAGCAATAGGTCTCGTATTACTTTTGTACTTACACTCTTACGATAATATCATGCGTGGTGTCGAATAGAAATGCGATTACGGACTCTCGGGACCCTTCGGTTACGGTAAAAACGAATGAAAAAACGTAACGTACATTAGCTATACTGGGATGAAGAATTATTGGCACACTGTCATATCGAAATAGATTGACTACTTTGCGTTGTAATAAAGTTTTCAGACTCATTCACGCACGTCGAGGGGGAGGGGGGGGGAGGTATTTTTTGCAATACCGCGCCGGTGAACGTACGGCAGACGCTCGAAGCACGATTCGACGCGGAACGAACACGAATCGTCATGGCAATTTTTATCTTACACTTACGTCATTATTTATTCACTGTACGTGCAATCGATATTAACTAGATTAGATTTAACCGGGAATTCAAACCGGTATAATTTCGCTCGGTTTCATCTCGATGTTTCTGCCTCGCGGAGATGAAACTCGCCGAAGACGTACCGGTTTTCAATCCTCGCGTTTGACGTGTATCGAAAGCACGCTATTGCAAAAAATTGCTCGCTCTTTCTCCCCCTTTCACACTAACGCGCTCTCATTCGTTCTCTTTTCCCTTTCGTTCGCTCGTTTCTCTTTTTTTAACGGAAGATCTTGTGCGAACATTGCGTGTATAATATCTGTTGGCGTCACTTATACCTTTTGTTCTCTCTCTCTCTCTCTTTGTGTGTGTTGTTTTTTTTTTGTAACGCTACAGGTACATGCGAGGAATTCGGAATTCAATCTTAATTTAATCGATAGCGGTAATTGCAATCGAGGCTCTGCGATACGAACGAGTAATGGACGTGATATGTTACATGCGTTCGAGCGTGTTGTGTCTGACGTACTTTTAATTGAACGCACGTCATTTCAAAATGAAATTTATTTT